AAATTTTTTAAACAGCTGTACAAAATCCTACAGCCATCCATCCATCCATCCATCTTCATCCGCTTTATCCGAGGCCGGGTCGTGGGGGCAGCAGCCTAACTAGAGAAGCCCAGACCTCCCTCTCCCCAGCCACCTCCTCCAGCTTATCCGGGGGAACACCAAGGCGTTCCCAGGCCAGTCAAGAGATATAATCTCTCCAGCGTGTCCTGGGTCTGCCCCGGGGCCTCCTCCCGGTGGGACATGCCCGGAACACCTCACCCAGGAGGCGCCCAGGAGGCATCCTTGTCAGATGCCCGAACCACCTCAACTGGCTCCTTTCGATGTGGAGGAGCAGCGGCTCTACTCTGAGCCCCTCCCAGATGGCCGAACTTCTCACCCTATCTCTAAGGGAGAGGCCAGCCACCCTTCGGAGGAAGCTCATTTCTGCCACTTGTATCCGTAATCTCGTTCTTTCAGTCACTACCCACAGCTCGTGGCCATAGGTGAGGGTAGGGACATAGATCGATCGGTAAATTGAGAGCTTCGCTTTTACACTCAGCTCCCTCTTCACCACGACAGACCAGTGCAGCGTCCGCATCACTTCAGCCGCAGCACCAATTCGTCTGTTGATCTCTGGCTCCCTTCTCCCATCACTTGCGAACAAGATCCCGAGATACTTAAACTCCTCCACTTGGGGCAGGAACTCATCCCCGACTCGGAGTGTGCACTCCACCCTTTTCCGGCTGAGAACCATGGCCTCAGATTTCCCGCTGCTTCACACTCGGCTGCGAACCATTCCAATGCGAGCTGGAGGCCATCACCCGATGAAGCCAACAGAACCACATCATCCGCAAAAAGCAGAGATGAGATTCTGAGGCCACCGAAGTGAAAGCCCTCCGCCACTTGGCTGCGCCTTGAAATCCTGTCCATAAAAATTATGAACAGAACCGGTGACAAAGGGCAGCCCTGGCGGAGCCCATCACCCACCAGGAACGAGTCCAACTTATTGCCGGCAATGCCGATAATAATACCAATACCAAGCTCTTGCAACGGTTGTATAGGGATCGAATGGCCCGTAGCAATGGGCCAGACACCCCATACTCCTGCAGCACCTCCCACAGGACACCCCGAGGGACACGGTCGAATGCCTTCTCCAAGTCCACAAAGCACATGTAGACTGGTTGGGCAAACTCCCATGCACCCTCAAGTATCCTTGAGAGGATAAAGAGCTGGTCCAGTGTTCCGCGACCAGGACGAAAACCGCATTGTTCCTCCTGTATCCGAGGCTCGACTAGCGGACAAACTCTCCTTTCCAGCACCCTGGCATAGACTTTCCCAGGGAGGCTGAATACAGCCCTTTATGCTATATTTATCTTGCATCATAACTGTGGTATTATGACAATATTACTTAATCTATTAAGACTATTACTGTAATAGTGACTGTAATAATGTCTTCATTGCACTTGTTTGAGAAGTTCTTTACTTTTCACACAATTAAACTCTCCACTGGTGTCTCCTGTGGTGCCATCATGAATGTGATCTCACTATCAACCAAAGTTGAAATGATAAGTTGAAATGGTCACAGGCAGTTGTTCCTATATCAGGGGGTCATTTAAAGCGTCACCAGGCATCCCAGCTGTTTAAATAGATTAAAAGCAATAAATGCAGTGTTTAAGTGACATAATATATTCAGTTTTCTTTGTTTTGCTAAAAACATTTTATTCCACTGATTATGTCCAAAAGCAACTATGGAAGAGAAAATGAACAGTCTGCTCAATCATCATTTTTAATGGAAATAATTAGATGCAAAAATATTCAAATTAGCATCAAACCTTTATTCATATTTACCATCAGACATGAACAGGCTCACATCTCTTCGGCTTAAAGACCTACCATGTTCTCTGTAGCTCTGCTATTAATGCTGGTTGCTGCATCTTTTGTGGTGCTTTGCTGTATTCACTCTAACAAACATCTTAGAAACAATATTAATCAGATGAATGGTGAATATAGTGCTGACTTCTTTTTTTTTATATGGAATCAGAACGATGCCACCTTGAAACGAAACCGAAAAATGGATTGAAACCAAAAAAAAATATTGTAACTGAAATAAATGTACTGAAAAATCTTGTATTGTAACCGAAAAAAAATTGATAGTGAAAAACAATTAATTGAAACTGTAATTTTTTTGTTTTTGCTTACAATTTTTTTTTTTTCGGTTTCAATCCATTTTTCGGTTTCAATCCATTTTTTCCATCCATCCATTCGCTTCTGCTTATCCTTTTCAGGGTCGCGGGGGGCGCTGGAGCCTATCCCAGCTGTCATAGGGCGAGAGGCGGGGTATACCCTGGACAGGTCGCCAGTCTGTCGCAGGGCCAACACACAGGGACAGACAACCATTCGCACTCACATTCACTCGCACATTCACACCTAGTGACAATTTGGATTACCGTATTTCCCGGACTACAAAGCGCACCTGAATATTAGCCGCACAAGCTAAAATCAGGGGAAAATCCTGTTTTGTACATACATTAGCCGCACCTGACTAAAAGCCGCAGGTGTTTCAATGTTGACTTATCATATGTAAGAGAATATGCACAAAGGGAATTGTCAGGAAAGAGATGGCTGTTTGGAGACACACCCCTTTTATTAATATTTTGAAAAACAAGTTATGGGTACATATTTGCACATGTAGTACATAACAGTAACCTACAGCACACCAGGAAAATAGATTCGGACTACCTTTTAGGCTCAGGTGCAGTGACACGGCTTTAACAAGAAGAAAAGTCAGTCATTCACCATCTTTCTCTTCTTCCTGCGCTCTAAAACCACCAAAGTCCTCTTCTCCAATGTCGGAAACGAACAGGCTCAGGATGGCTTCGTCATCCGCTCTGCGTCATCCACTCTCCGCTTCTCTCCTTCGTTGTCACTTTCAAAACCAAAGAAATCCTCGTTGTCAATGTCAGAGTCAAACACCCTCTGAAGGGCCGTGGCGGTGTCCTCCTCTCCATCATGCAGCAGTCCAGCCCTTCAAAATCCGTTGGTGATCGTGGATGTTTTCGCACTTTTCCACGCTGTCAGAATCCACCGGTGGAGTTGGGCATAACTTGCTTTTCGCAAGTTTATCGCCGCTCGTCATCCACGCCTCCCGCTGAATGCGTAGCGCTACTTTGAAGTTTGTTTTTCGCGCTACTTCGTACGGCACTACGTTGCCTGGCGGACGGACATGTGACTAACATACCACTCTTGAACCCCGATCCTTCCGCCAGGCAACGTAGTGCCGTACAACAGCGGAACAAACAAAACAAATCGTCTTACGATATCACAAAAATCATGGAAAATCCATAGAAAAGCCGCACCTGACTAAAAGCCGCAGGGTTCAAAGCTTGTGCAAAAAGTAGCGGCTTATAGCCCGACAATTACGGTAATCAATTAACCTATCCCCACAAGCTGCATGTCTTTGGACGGTGGGAGGAAGCCGGAGTACCCGGAGAGAACCCACGCAAACACGGGGAGAACATGCAAACTCCACACAGAAAGACCCCGGCCTGATGGTGGAATTGAACTCAGGACCTTCTTGCTGTGCGGCAACAGTGCTAACCACCGTGCCACCGTGCTGCCCAATCCATTTTTTTTCGGTTTCAATCCAGTTTTCGGTTTCAATCCATTTTTTTTCGGTTTCAAACCATTTTTCAGTTTCAATCTGCTGGCACTGTTTTGGCCTCCGGAGGCGCGCTTGAGGGGGCGGGGATTCCGACCCGCATGAATTTGCATACATTATAGAGTCCGTTGCTCGTGCTGACCAAGCTGCCATTTTTCTCTTTTTGCCTCTTTCAATAATGGCTGCATCAAGTTCAAGTGGACCCTCTAAACCACAGGTAAGTAATCATTTTCCGTCGTCTTTCTTTGCTATTTCACCCGACTGGACATAGGTGTAGTTTTTATTAGCTAAATCTGGTGAAGTTGTGGTAAAATGCCAACATTAGCCTATTTGTTGTAGCAAGCTAGCTGGCAGCTAAAATTTGCTAAATTCAGTGATGCCCCTGTCTCTTTCAGGAGTTAGAGGCCCGTGTTATAACGGCGGCACAAGATATAATCAACAGGTTAGCTCAAAGTCTTCAGCAACCTAATACCACATGTATACCAAATGCTGAGCACTCTCACGAGCACTCAGTTGGACAAGCCGAGACCCCAAAAGATACAGTGCAGGTGGAGATGGCAAGGTTAGAAATTGTATTGAACCATTATACTTTTAATCATTTGGATTAGTAAAAAAAAAAAAATCCCTACATTTTGAAAATTATTTCTGCTTCTCACATATAGGTCATTTCCAGGATTTTTTATCAAAAAAAGGGGGAAAAATCGCTTTTCCTCACTCCAAAGTAGCACGCTGAGGCCTAAATCCAGCAAGCCATTCAGTGTATATATATATCTAGTGAATAAAGGCTGCACCAACACTCCTTCTGCTACTGAGGAGCTGCAGCTGAGCCAAGCAGGGCTGGGAAAGAGATCCCTCATCTTGACTGATGATATGAGCCATACAATGGTAATGTAGTTAAACTTATATAAGAGAAATGCATTTACATAAAAAAAAAAAACATGTTCTATATCAAATCATAATGATAGACATGCAAATGATAGTTGGTTTGGGTCATATATTAGCACTGATAAAAATATTTCTGAATTATGTAGTTTTACCAATTGTGTCCCCTTATGTACTGTTTTAGATTAATAAACTGATCACTGAAGAATATCCCAAAATGGATGGAGTGCAAGGATGGTTGTTGCACAAGTCATCAGGTGCATAATTTTCCTCTTTGAAATTATTTTTTTAGATGCTAGTGAAAGTTGAAAATGGTACAATTTTTTTTCTATAAATCTGTGTATTTAGGTGGTCAAGGTAGGAGGAAACTTGTAGCAATTCCTCCTGATGTAAATGGCTACACAAGAAGACTGATCCGCAACGTTTCCAGTGCAGGAAAGACCCTCTTGTATGTTGTTCCGCTGCACCAGGACCTTGATCTTACTCCTCTTCCATCAGATGCAGCTGAATTTCAAACCATGCCAAAGGCTTCTTGCCAGGTGTGCAAGGAAAGTATGCCTCTGCATGAAGTCTCAGTCAACAGAACAGGAAGATGAGGTGAATTTATGTTATATTGTGGAATATTGCCTTATTAACAGTCTATAAATATTTGGGATATTTGTGCACGTAATTATAGAAGGCTTTTTTTGTGTGTGTGACTATTCTGTTTTTGTTAATGTACAATACATTGTAGTAATTACAATTGTACTTCATAGACTGATGTCCAGCTTCTGTCTGTCATGAATTCACCAAGTTTTTGTAGAGAGATACTCTTGACATGAAGCAGGTGATAATGTTCAATCCACATATTTACAAATCATTGTTTCTTTTATGTTTTAACAGTATTTTTTTTCTCTAGGACATGAAAGAATGCCCAATCTGTGTTTGCTGCTTTCCAGTGAATGAGATTGCCCAGCATGCAAGCCTGTGTGGTGAAAGGTTCATTCAAATTTATACATATTAAACACATTTTCCTATGTTTACATCGGATTCCTTTTTAAAATTTTTAAGCCATTACAGTTTTGAGCTCAGTATGTAGTTACAGTAAATACTTACTTGGTCCACATTTTAATGCTTACAGTACATTCAGTGTTGGGAAGGTTACTTTTAAAACGTATTCCATTACAGAATACAGAATACATGCCCCAAAATGTATTCTGTAATGTATTCCGTTACGTTACTCAATGACAGTAACGTATTCTGAATACTTTGGATTACTTAATATATTATCATGCTTTTTACAACAATGTGAATGTACTATTGCTGTGTGATTTATTACTATTACTGAAGGTCCGCGACTCCGAACTGTAGTAAAGGGACCTCTGACTAATACGGCGGGGTCCCTGTCGGCTCGTAGCCGAAAAATAGCTTTACTTTGTTGTGTGGGTCAACTTTTCTTGCACGAGACAGAGAGAGGCATTGAAAGACTGCTCCAACGGAACTTATTGTTTTCGGAGGAAAACACGAACACAGCGTACAGTCGAGTCTTAATAGCTTATTTACAACTGGGCTCGTCAGGCACTCTTATTGGCTGCAGTGGTTATTATTATATTTACATGCTTCCAGCTCTCGTTTTTTCTCGATGACTGCTCGTACGTTTCCACTCCCCTTTTTCTCCCTCCTCGCGCTCACAGACACATAACGTGTATGGCAGTCCATTCTCCCTGCAACACGGACTACACTGCCCATGATGCTACATTCTTTAGAGCTATGCTTGTAGCATTCTGCCTGTTAGCTTAGCACAACAACAACAACAACGAAAAGGCGCTCTCTCACCCAGGAAACACACAGTCCCAGAGAGAGAGAGCGTCGCCCTGTAACCATGGCAACCGTAATGCTGCCGCCTGGAACAACAGAACGTAGCTGTCAAACAAAACCCAAACAGTCCTGACCCGCGACAAAATGAAACAGGAAAGTACCGCAGTGTAATCCATTTATTTCAACAAAGTAACTGTATTCTGAATACCACCTTTTTAAACGGTAACTGTAACGGAATACAGTTACTCATATTTTGTATTTTAAATACGTAACGGCGGTACATGTATTCCGTTACTCCCCAACACTGAGTACATTTGAAACACACAATGTAATCACCGTACCTATTAAGCTCAGGACCCAATTTAAATGGCAGTAAAATCAGTTAAAAGACATCATAAGTTACATCACATATATTTTTGCTATTGTTCATAATTTTTAGACCTGAGGACACTTCCACTCACATGACAGACGTTTATGTCAGTACTGACTCTGAGTGCAGTGTGCCAAGCAACGGAACAGATCCTTTGACTGATTTAGTCAGGTATGATTTATATTATTTGCCCTTTCAGATTATCTGGTTTTGTTTATAATACATTTGCTTTCATTTTAAGAAACAAAAATCATTTTATTTTATTTTTTTTCTCAGTGAAGCAGATGTGCTACAGTGGCTTTTAAGTCAGGTGGATACCAGCAAAAACTTTAGGATTTGCATCACTCGCAATGATCTTGTTCAAAGAGGCTTCATTCAGTGGCAACGACAGAAGAAGGCTTCCCCTGTGAACAAACTCCACGTGACTTTTATCGAAGCAGGAATTGATACTGGTGCATTAAGCAAAGAAGTTTTGACTGGTATAGCTATGTACATTGTACTTACAGTTCAGATATTGAATATGGCCAAATCAAATTAAGATAAAGTATAAGGTTAACCCTTTAAATTATTTTGTCTTTCTGTATCTCTATGTAGAAATGATGCATGGTATTGAGACTCGACTGTTTGAAGGCAGTGGCAAGAAGGGAAAGAGTCCTGTCTACTCTATCAGTGATTTAGAAAGTAGTTTCTACAGGTTTGTCTGTTTTTATACATTTCCCAGGATTATGTAGCATATGAAGCATGTTAAATATTTCTTTGTATCTTGCAGAACTGCAGGAGAAGTGTTTTCAGTGAGCCTTGCACAGGGAGGTCCACCACCATGCTTCCTGAGAAGCTGGTGTTATCAGTTTCTTGCAACAGGAAACTTCGATGTTCTTCAGCTGACCAAAGATGATGTGGATGACACAGAATATAGGTCTCTAATCGAAAAGGTGAGCTGTGTTTGTACAGACTAGTGGAAAAGTGCTGATTGTTTGTGTGTGTATACAGTGTTGGGGAGTAACGTAAGACATGTACCGGCGTTACGTATTTAAAATACAAAATATGAGTAACTGTATTCCGTTACAGTTACCGTTTAAAAAGGTGGTATTTAGAATACAGTTACTTTGTTGAAATATATGAATTACACAGCGGCAGCGTTACGGTTGCTATGGTTACAGGGTGACGCGTGCTCTCTCTGCGACTGTGTGTTTCCTGGATGAGAGAGAGCCTTTTGGTTGTTGTTGTTGTGCTAAGCTAATAGGCAGTGTTACAGTCATAGCCCTAAAGAATGTAGCCTCATGGACAGTCTAGTCCGTGCTGCAGGGAGAATGAACTGCCATACTCGTTATGTGTCTGTGAGCGAGGAGGGAGAAAAAAGGAGAGTGGAAAAGTACGAATTGTCATCAAGCAGAAACGGGAGATGAAAGCATGTAAATATAATAATAACCACTGCAGCCAAGAAGAGTGCCTGACGAGCCCAGTTGTAAGTAAGCTATTAAGACTCGACTGTACACCGGGTTCGTGTTTTCCTACGAAACATTAAGTTCCTTTGCAGCAGCCTTTCAATGCCTCTCTCTGTCTCTCACTAGCAAATGTGACCCAGACAACAAAGTAAAGCTAGTTTTTGGCTTCGAGCCCGACACGAACCTGACATATTAGCCAGAGGTCCCTTTACTATGGTTCGGAGCCGCGGACCTTCAATAAGAGTAATAAATCACATTTATGTAGTTGTAAATAGCATGATAATATATTAAGTAATCCAAAGTATTCAGAATACGTTACTCTCATTTAGTAACGTAACGGAATATGTTAAAAAATACAGTTTGGGGCCTGTAATCTGTAGTGGAATACATTTTAAAAGTAACCTTCACAATACTGTGTGTATAGTTGCATAATTTCTAAAACTTGAAATCATTTATTGTTTTGTTTTTGTATGTTTTCAGGTGGAAGTGGCAGACAACCTGACAGACCTCACTGAAGACATTGTGAGCTGTGGTTACACAGGACTTGTGAAGTTGGACAGACGGGACAGTATAATAAGGTAGTATATTTTAATAGACAATATACCAACCAGAAACATCTGAAAGTAATATTTTGTAAGTTAAAACCCTGGTTTAGACCACCATACCCCATCAGTTTCACTAATGACTGTGTTTGCTTTTCTAAATAGATCAATTGTTGTGCATGCTACGGTGCGTCTGACTCCAATGCTACAGCAAATCAGAAATGGCATGAAGATCTACAACCTTCTGGAGGTGATTGGAAGGTATGAAAGTCTGTTCAAACCTGTTTGTTCCCAGCGATGAGAATGATGATACAGCGGTAAATATGTCTTTATTTATTTCAGTTGTTTTGTTTTTACAACAGATTCTAAAAATACATGTGATGCAGTAATAGCCCTGTGAGGACTTTTTTGTTTCAGCCTTTATTTAGGTTTCTCAGATTAATGACTATTGATGAATATATATATTTGTTATTGTTTATTTGAAATCACAACACGTGACACCCCCCCACCCCCCCCCCCCCCCCCCCCCCACCCCCCCAAAATCTCTTTAGCCGGATGCTGATTACATAATGAGCATCCTTGAGCCTGAGCTGAGTGAGAGGGGAAGTCCAAGGCATGCCAAAGAAAATGCCATCATCAACTTCTTCCAAGACTTCCTGGAGAACCTTGAAACCTCAGGTTTGTGCCGTCGGCCAGTTACTGGTATTATCATCAAACCAACATTAACACAACAGCTGTTACAAATATAGTGTTGTAACATTTCTTTCAAACGTACTGTACTCTGCAAAATTGTCATCACGGAACTGAAATCTCTGTAAAGATTTGTTTATATGTTTTGATGTTTTATACAATCTACCACATGTCTAAATGACAAAATTGGTTTTGCATATTAATTAATTTTGTGGCATGACAGTTAAAGATTTAAAGTAAGTCAAATCTGCTTCTTCAGATCAGGATAAAGACAAAAAGAGCTGTGAGTATGGGATACAAGTCCTACAGGACCAGGAACAGGACCAGGAAGAATACTGGATTTCCAAACACCAACCACCGAGAATGTCTGTCCCAGCGATTATGCAGTGGTTAACTGGACAAAGACACAAACCATGCCTTCCTTCAGAAAGGGCAAGTTTTAAAATACATGTAAGATTTGAGCATCAATGCAAAGATACGATGCCTGGACACTACATATGTTACCCACTTGTAAGTGCCTGCACAAACACAATCATCTTTCCTGTGGCACACATGAACTCATACACAGAGTTCACAGAAGTTATGACAACAGCTGTCACAATGGGGAGAGATTTCAGCCGTGTGTAGTTGACACTCAAATAGCATGCCATCACATGTTATGCAGTATTGCACTGTATTTCTACTATTTGTGTAACCCTTTAAACCTATTTCAGTTCTTGGAACAGAGTAAAAAAGGAAAAAAGATTTACAGTTAGATTATTTTTCCATGTTGTTTCACTTACTTTTTGTTCTTATAATGTTAAAAACTATGTTCACAAAACGGAGGAGCCCATTCAGAAGACTGCTGTGACCAGGAGATATTTTATTTTGTATTCTTATGATCACAGTTATAATTAGAAGTATCAATCATTAATCATTTATCATTGTGGAATCTGAGGACAGTATAATCTTTGTTTTATATCTATGGTAATCTGAGTAAAGATTAATGTATGCAGGTTATCATCATTGTAATCAAGTCTCAAATGGTATCCACAGCATTGTATTCACCGTCCATAACTGGAGGGTCCAGCAGGACCTTGTTCTAATTCATTTGCAGGCCTACATCAGAACATGCACATAGAGAGTTATGTAAACACGCACGTTTACCCTTATTTACACAGGGAGGTCATGTCAGGACATTCTCTAGTTGGACACACAGGCTCACAGAACTGCACAACATGCCATGTCACACACTTGTTTTTCTCTAAAGTATCATCTGATGTTTGTATAAAGAGAACTTTGGACTATGGGGAGACTGTTATCATTTCCAGTAAGGTCTAACTGTGTGATGGGTTATATAAGGATGGGGAACAATCCACTCTTGAGAGATCTGTGGCTGTACGCTTGTCTTCCCATGCTTCTGTCTTAGAAGTGTGTAATAAAATCACTATTCTGACATCTACTGAGACCATGCAGTCGTTTGTCTTCTCCTCAAAACTCGAATCATGACATTTCTGGGATAAATATCTTGACAAAATTTGAGAACTTTGTGTGATTGCTGGGAGATTTTTAGTTGGGTCGTATTTCCTTCTCTACCTGGAAAAGGCAGAGATCTGTGCTTTATTTGATGTTGTGTAAATAAAGCTTTTAAAAGTTGGTTGAGTCTCTCGTATAAGGAGGGAAAACGATGCATGGTAGATTGTCTGGATTATTTTTGTATGTGAAAACTTTGTATGTTAGGGAAGTGAATGTGAGAGTGAATTTTCGCTGGCTTGCGTGCTTAAAATGTTGCAGTGGACGTTTGTGAAGTTTTGTTGTGAAAGGACGATTAGAGTGTGTGTGTGTGTAGGTGTGTCTGTGAGAGAAAGACAAGGTGGGGGCCGAGTGCTGTGTGTGTGTGACTTTCTGCATGACAGAAGAGGAAGGAGAAGTAAGTCAGTTGATTTTCTGTGAAATAATAATAGTCAAGAAAAAGGGAAAACAATAAAGTGTGGAAGTGTGAGTGAGATATTGTCTCTGACTGGGGAAGCAGTGAGAGTAGAGGTCACCTTATTCCCCTGCTGGACACAAGAGAGAACATGATTTGGAGTGTTGTGGAGGAAAATGATTAGTAATAACATCAAGCAGTTTTTGTGTTTGCAGTCAAGAACATATGAAATTTTTACTTGTGGGGTTTAAAGTTAGTAAAGAGTTAAATCTACCCTCCTCAAGACTAGGAGTGAGTGATAAATACGGGAAATGAAGCAGGATTTATAAGGTCTTCAACTGATCCTTGGTTCAGTTCAATAATTTAGGCAGTTATGTTTATACAAATACTAAATGTATGTTTAGTGTCTTCATACAGGTGTTTTTTCTTAACCTGGAAAACCTGAGTACGGCAGCAGAAGACAGGCCAAGCTTTGGCTAAAAATTCACGGCTGGACACCAGAGTTGTCCCTACCCTCCCGGAAAAAAAAAAAAAAAAAAAAGAGAGAATGAAGTTTTAGGCAGGTTTTTCTCGCTGAACTGCTCTGGGTGCTGTGTCCCTGAATCTCACCAGTGTTAACCTCTGGCGGAAGACATGGAGAAAAGGAAAAGATGTTCCTGGTAAATGACTGAAACAAATAAAACCACACACAACCAGAGAAAGGTATGAGAAGTGTGAAAAACAGACACATGTGCGTGTTAGAGAAATGCCTCATTTGAGAAGAAGTTAAATTAACCCATACACTGCATTTCGTTGCCCTGTACCTGTGCATGTGCAATGACAATAAAGTTGAATTCTATTCTATTTTATTCTATATACAGACGCACCCATACATGCAATGAAGAAACAGCTTACATACATGTGCACGTACATGCAAGATTAAAGTAGCGACACTTAACATACACCTGTTTTTTAAATGATATAGTTTATACATTACTGACAAATAAACTCTCTGGGTTGCAAGACAACAACTTAACGTCAAAAGACAAAGGCACTGGTCTGATGATTAAGTGAGGACACGACAAATTTAGTGGTTAAAAGGGTCGAATTGGGACATGTTTTGTTGATTGTTTAAGACAAATGACTACTGAATGGTAGAAAATTCCTTTTTAGGTTTCTAAACAGGATCTTAAGAATTTTAACACGTACCTGTGTTGTCCTGTCAACTTGAGGGGTTATGAGTTGATTATGTGGTGAGAAAAACCAAAAAAAAAAAAAGGGGGGAAAGGAGACCTCGTTGTTTCTCCCCTCTCTGGATAACACAGCCAACACAGCACAGTCAACACAACATCATTTTCCTGTTCGCCTGTTTTGTTTTGTTTTTGTTTTTTCTGAAAGCCGAAGCTGACCTGGACTCTACCCTCCCTCTACCATCGTTGCCCTCTCCGCGACTATCTTTGACCCTTTGACCTCTGAAGGCCACAGCAGCTGGACTCACAACAACAACTTGAGGATGTCAACAGTGCTGCAAAAAAGCGATCTCATGCAGCAGAGACGGAGAGCACTAAACCTAAAGCCCGTTACACTACACGGGGGAAATTCCCAGACTGCGTCAGCTGACAGAGCCGTGACGAGACGCGCATTAAGCCCGGAGGAAAAGGGAGGGTGAGCAAAAGAATGCTGACCTCTGAGAAGAGCCGAACAGCAGAGCTGCAGGAGGCCGTGGAGCAAAGTAAGGACAACATAAACAGACTCCAATCTGACGTGGAAGGAAAAGACTCTGAGGTTTTTGTCCTCAGTAAGAGCTCAAGGCATGAGAACAGAAAATTGAGCATGGCTCCGGAGGAGCTGGCTGCTAATTGAACTCATCAGTCAGACTTGGAGTTTCACATACAGGACTTGTAATCAGGCGGAAGCTTGCTGGAGCAGGAGGTCGTCAGACTTGACGCAAAGCTCCAACAGCAGGAGTAAACCCTGAAAGAGCTACAGAAGCATAAGGGTCAAGTTATAAGGAGAAGATGCAGGCAGCTGCAACAACGGATGCAAACAGACCCAAAGAGGAGGGCAGGACCCTAGGGCATGCTTCAGGCTGCTGGTTTACCTAAACTACAGAACAGGAAGGTGATGAACACAAACATACAACAACACACAAACACACACTTCTGCATCCGCCGACTTAGAATGAAGAGAAACACACACATGAACACTTATGCACTCGTTGAGTGAGTGAAAACTGATACATACCCATGCACCAAAATCAAAATGTTGATTTAATTCACTAAGAAGTGACACACAATGCTCCAGCTGCTGCAATGAAGAATGCTTTACTGACAAAGGCTCAATGCTGCACACAACAAAGTCAAATACAGAATTTGTTACAATAATAAGCCCAGAGGGCATTTGTGTGGTCTGGGGAGCAGAGTCCGGAGTGGTTTGGTTATGAAACGATGCCTGTGCGAGATATCTGGGGCTTAAGGCCTCGACTCAATTGTTTACTGTACACTAAAAAGAAAAGAAAACAGCCTGAGCAGTGGTGCAGAGTGAAAACGATGAATTAACAGTGTGAGTCTTATTTCAGAGCGCCACATCATTGTGATGGAGACTTAATAAAAGGAGGAACACACGGACAAAGAAGAAGAGAAAGGGGGGGGCAGCCCTTGAACACGATTGCCTGAGGTATTAAAGTTCTGTACTAAATTCTGGTTTCCAGTGTGAGAAAAGTCACGCAGTGCCAGTAGTAGAGCTAGGTTGAGTGATGATTCTAAATTACTGTAAGTAAATCATCGTACACCCGTTCAAGTTTCATGATAACGGGGATCTAGACTTTGTTGAACTCTAGGCAATTTGAACAGGTAAAATTTGAGTGACCAAGTAGCAGTTGAATAAAAGTCATTGAATAAGTGTTGAAATAAACTGGCAGAATTAAGAGAATTAAAACATTTCAAGAGCTCAAATTACTTAATATGGAAACGGTTCTATTTTGGTTCACGAACGCAAAACATATAGGTTTATGAATATGAAAAGGTTGAGGTGGTGTTGACTTGACTCTGTGTAGGTTTAGGTTGGTATTTTTATTGATGGGAGGAATATTCAGTGACAAGTCCTAAGACCCGGGCGTCTGCATTTTGTTTTGTTATTTTTCATTTTATTTTGTTTTATATTTTGAACAGTGCACTGATTTTGTTTCTGAATCTTTTCTTTAAGCAGATCTGCACATCGGAAATTACAAGCATTACACGTCGGCGAGAAAATTGTTGTAAGTGAGTTTCTCCGCATTGAAATGGGTTCTGGAGGAAACACTTGTGGGGACAATTAGAAACGAGAGTCCCTGTCTAAAAAAGGATTCAGCGAGGTAATCCAAATTCAAGTTCTTGTTTTCTTTGTGAGATGACGTCATTTTGCTGAGTGTGGAAACTAAATGCGACGACAGGTTTCACTATCAGCAAAGAAAGAAAGAAATGGATGAATGGATGAATGGATGAAAGACTGGAAATAGAAACAAACGGACTGACTGGTAAAAGATGACGAGACTAGACCATGACTCAAGGTTAACCACCTCCACCTAGATAGGATAAAAGGGTGGATGAATTTATGTGTGTTTCTTTTTACAGGAGTAGAAGGATGACAAAATATTCGAGGAAGAGTGAACCTTTAAATGCCATTTTTGTGTCTTGTGTTGTTTACAGAGGTAACTGCGCAGCGTTACCATTTACATTTTCTTCCCTACAGGGTTACAGTTTTTAATGTTTTTATATTACAGTATTTCTGGGCGGATGTGTGAAGAAACGGTGTTTATGGGTTAGGAGTTGGTGATGCTATTACACTGTATTCTGGTGAGAGTGTTGGGTGAGACACACCCTGTTTTGAAAACTGTGATTCTTTTACAGGAAATGTTTTTATAGCACCTATGGAAGGTGGATGCCTGACTGCGGTCAATGTGCTGCTAATGTTTGCTTTGCTTTGGTGAGAAGGGTGCAGTAGAAAACAGACAAGTGACATGAAAACAAGTAATAATAACAAATAACTAATTAGGGGACAGTTTAACCTAGAGCCCACTACCTGGCCATTAGGGGCTCTCTCTCTTGGAGTAATATTGCCCAAGTGTGAATAAAACAAATTGTGGCAATAAAAGTGATTTAATGGTTGGAGAAACCGGAACATGATACTTGTCTGTTGTGCTGAATCTTTTATTACTCTTATGATTTGCAGGTGGTTGTAAATAAGCTGTTTACTTTAACAGGTTTGCTTTTTAGCTGAATTGCAAAATACAACTAGAATGATTAATTGAGACTAATCGCAACTAACCTGAAACTGAGGAGGTTCTATATAAGGAAGAACTAAAACAGGAGCTGGCACAGACACCAGACGGGGACACGGAGATATGGGGATTCTTCACAGCAACTGGGGTCAAGTGTCATGGCCTTGGGGCTCCTTGAGAAGATGGATCCCAGAACAATAACCAAGACGGGGTTGGCGAAAACTAGGAACACCAGAGACCAACGAGGTTCGAGAGGCTTTTGGCAAAAAGGGGGACACGGCGGTGACAACGGACATCAAACACACAGATCTTTGTTTGAATAATCCCTAGATCTGTGTAACGACTGAAGGGTGGTCTACCCCGGAAGACGAAGAAAGAAGAATCCGAGGGCGTTTCTTCACTCCAAGAGGAGGTGGTAAAGGGGCCTGAAGCGTGACAGGCTGAAACTCGAGTCTGAAGCTAAAAGAACAGCTGGGTTGTGGGAAAATTGGAAAACAATGGAGGTGTTGGGGTTGATAAGTGTCATAACGTGTTTGTTTGGTTTGGAAA